GCGTTGTCTCTCACAGAGAACTTAGTTCCCTGGGGCTAGGATTTTAAGAGACCCAGCTTGCAGGTGTTGCTACTAAACCAAAAATCAGCCCTGTCTGGGAGGGGAAGGACAATTTACCAGCTTGCAGGAGCAACTGGGTATTAAGGTGGTGCAGGTTCTTCTACCTTCTGCTTGTTGCTTTTTGTGGTTGTCTTCCTCAGCTGGCAGTAAGTTATTTGCTAAGAGGTATAAAAGGTGATGGTTGTTGCATGTACTCTAGTATGAACATATAAAGCTCTACTTTGTTTATGACTCAAAAAGTCACAGTTTCTTGCTTATTTTTTGGCTATCTGCATGTAGCATGGGCTACCCTCAGTCTTTCTCCTCCATCTTTTCCTCCTACCATCCACATGCTTCTACCTTATGCTATTGCTCTCTTGCCATAACTTAGCCATGTTGTTTTTGTGTAGGACCTAGCTCAGTCCAGCTACTGTAATAAAAGTGCTATTCTTTCTTATATGCTGGGACTTAAATGTTCTGAGACAATCAGTTTGATGCAGTATATTGTAACTTGCCTGTTAGTCAACATTTGGTACTAGTGTCTCCTACCCCACCATAACCTCTGCATGGATGCACTCATTTTGTTTTCTTTCTTTGTTCACTCTTGTTCACCATCATCTGGGAGATGGAGTTTGCATTTGTCATCTGGCATTTGGTGCTCATTCAGCGTCTCACATCTACCATGAGCAATTTCTAAAGCCAAAATCTTGCCTCTTTTTGGGCTGAGAAATTAATGGGGAAAGGCTTCATGTTACTCTGTTCCCAGTCATTTTGAGCTATAAGGAGAAGCCTCATCCATTCCTCTTTAAGGTCACTGCATGCACTGGGCTTTTTTGTTCCCCCATCTATCTTCTGTTGCATACACTCATTTCTTCTGCTTGCAAAACAATATCTGGTGTGTGTGTCTACCTATTCTTCCCTCCCTTCAGCTAAAATGAAAGCAGGATACTCACTCTCAGGGGGAGAGTGTCGTTTTTAGGAGCACTTACTCTGCGAATGTTATCTGCCATATGAAATGGAGATTCAAAGGAGCTCTGTCTGGGGGAGACTGGTTGAGAGAGGTGGCATAGGTAACAGTACCTTGCAACACAGAGTTCAGAGTCCAGGTGGGAGACCAAGGTTAGTAAGGTGATTTGTACTCAATTTGTTCCTCTTAATATTTTTTTATCAGTAACTCAACTTTTAATGTTTCTTACTATTAGTATCATATCAGTTTGTTCTGATTTCAAGGTCTGCAGGAGAGGATGTGAAAGTGGGAGAACAGCTGAAGCTGTAACATTTTCATGTTGCTTCTAAGATTTGCCTACAGTTTAGATTAAAATTGGTTGATGTTAAAGACAATATGGAAGCTGCTCTCTCCTCCAAAATGCAGCTGAGTTATGCAACACCACCACTCCCGCAAAAAAAAAAAACAAAACAAACAACTAACCACCTAAACACCTATAGCTAGTCTGCAGAGAATAATCTTTTGTTTCCAGGTTTTGAAGCTACCCCTTCTGCTGAGCTGTATTAGCTGTAATGCACAGGCCATTTGTTTACTTCATTGCAGTGACCTGGTATCTGGGAAGGTGTTTTCTTTTCCACACAGGCAGCTCCTTAGCATGTAGGTATGTTGTGCAATAATTTCTAAGGTTTACCTACATAAGCATTGAATTCAGACACGAGAGCCTGGACAGTAAAGTGTGTGTCAAGATTCTGCACCAAAACCACAGGTTTATGAAAAATGATCTGAAGCCTCCACACTGAACAGGAGGGGAAAAATGTGGGTCACAGACCAAAACACACAGAATGGTGGTTTGTAATGTAACCTTGTCCTTGGAAAAAGCTGCAGTGCAAGACCGGGAGGGTATGGTCCTGCAAACATTTCAGGATGTACTAATGTTATATGTAAGTAGCCTCACTGCAGCTAACGGGAGTATTAGGAGCAGAGCATATGCCTACACTCTTGCAGCACAATAGCCCGTGTACTTCTCCCCCTGCAGTTGACACGGTGCCATGACTTGGCTGTGTTACCCGAGCTTACTGGAAAAAAAGATGTGAGTCCTAAGAAAAGCAACAGAAACAATTAGGGGGCTGGCGACAGAGTGAGGGGAAAGGTTTGCTCATTGGTGATAAAGTGAGAACTGAGACACTTTGCAAACTGTATAGAAAGAGAAGGGAAAGGGATTGTGGAGAGGTGGCACCATGGGAATTGCCAGTGGGAAGAGGAAATTATGAGTAACAAGTGAAATAAAGACCCAAGTATTTCAGGACTGATTTGCCACTGAGAGCAGTTAACCTGGGGAGCTGATATTTTCTTATAATTTGTGACATTTTTGTTCTGTTTCCTGTCAGTCTCTGACAGTCCTGAAGGACGTTGCTTCTGCCTAGAGATGGACAAATCATCTGCACTTTGCAGTAAGAACAAGCATGCACTGGCCTTTGTTGGAGGGACTGGCAGAAGCCCCCAGAGCGTTTCCAGCTCTTCTGTCTGAAATATTTTCAAAGGGTCTGTAAAATATCGGAGCTTTGGATTTCTTTTGGAAAGAATTTCTATGTGATTGCCTGGATTTTGCTAATACAGAGTAGGGGTAGTGCTCTGCAAGGGGTTTGGGAATCTGTTCATGGAATTCAATGGCACTGAGATAAAATCAGCAGTGGAGAATCCAGGAGTCTTTGAGAACCTGCAAAATGGGAGGGACATCACTGATCTGGGCCCTGAGTTTACAGGGGTTTTTGAGTGCAAAAAGAGATCAACAAAAGCAGAAGGAAACTGGGAAGAGGAGAACCCAGAAATAGCTGACAAAATGGGCAACAGGTGAAGAAATTCAGTTTGCTGAAAACACTTTCCACATTTCTGCTGTCAAAAGAGGATAAGGATCTGACCTTCTGCTACAGAGAATGCTGCTCCATGGGTGAGGGCAGCTCTGTTCCCAGGTAGTTCTTAATTTGGTTGTGTTTGCTGAGCAACATTCATAGTCTACTGCTGAAAAGGATAAATTAGCTCAGGAGAGATTAGACTGTTTCTCATTCCCAGACTCGTTTGCCTGGACTTAACAGGGCACCTCTGCACCTTTATTCCTCTCCTTGGACCAGTGTCACCAGTCTGTTCCCTCCTTGATCTTTGTTGCTTATTTACAGGGACTTTCTCCCACATTATCACCGAGCAGATTTACCAGCCGCCTCCACGGGTCAGTCTGTCTGTCTGTGGAGATGCTTTTGTCCCGTAATTGCACTTTACTGTAAGTTTTACCACGAGCTGGGAGCCCCTGCAGGGAACAGCCAGTGGGATAGCAGCTTCTACTGTGTATTGTCCCTACAAGCAGAGGAGGGGAGAGATCTGCCCCAAATGCCCAGCCGAGGCATTTCTTGCATGTGGTTCCTCCATCTAAGGGACAGCCTGGGGCCTGTTGCTGCAGTTTCCCTTGAAATGTCTTTGGGAAGTTTGCGGTAGTTGGAGTCGTTCTGCAGGCACCTGCTCCTTGGGTGGCTGGGGAGCTGGAAGGCACAGCTCTGCTGAGGCTGGCCAAGCTGCCGCTGCCTTGTGCAGTGGTCAGGCTCTCAAGGCAGCCCCTGTCCCGCTCAGCCTTCCGCCAGGCAGCCAATTAACGAGAAATCCCACTGTGTGACCAGCTCCGAGCGGCCGCCGCGCCGAGGCCCCGGGCTGACCCGTGCCCTGCCGCAGCCGGGCAAGGGCCGCTCCCGGCCGGCGAGCCCGGGGATGCGCAGCGGGCGTTCAGCGGGAAAGGGCAGCCGAGAGCCTGCGGAGCGCTGACAGGCGGCTGGACAAGGGGCTTTTCAAGGAAGACCCTGCCCGGAGCCCTGGGTGCCGTAGGTGGGACTGTCTTTAGCTCCTGCATATTCATCTCTGCTTGGGCAGCCGAACAGGGCAAAGCCAGACCCAGCCGCCCGCCGCCGGCCGGCAGTATTACGGCCGCGCTGCCGACAGCCGCGAGCAGCCTGCTCGCTCCAGCGCCGAAGGGGCCAGCTCTGCCCGCACACCGTGCAAGTGAAACCTCTTCCCAGAGCCGAACCACCAGCTTCTCCGTGGTCTGAGGGCTCAGGGTCTCCGCAGAGCTTTTGTGGCCTCGAGTCTTTAAAGGAGCTCTGTGCTGGTGTACTCTGTCCGTGCTTTGTGCCACCAGTTACTTTCCCTTCCACTCTTATTTTTTGCTCTTTCCACTTCTAACTGTTCACAGCACTCTGTCAAATCAAAAAGCATGCAATGCTCTCAGAGCCTTGCTCCTTTAGCAGGATTCAGTGTACACTCAGTTCTTACTCCTCTCCTTCATTCCTTTGTCTCTAGCATCCTTTTTAAGTGGAGTAGCCATAGTCCTTGTGCTAGGAATACCCAATGACTCGGACATCAACAATTCCAGAGTCATGATGGAAATCACAAAAAGGTTTATGACATTGGAACTAGATTCATCTTCCCTAGTCCTTGTATCTGCTAGACCACCAGCACTTCCTTCCTCAGCTATCAGGAAGGTCACAGGCCTCTGCACAGCCTGAGACCCACCAACAGATCCTTCAACACATAGTTTTACATGGCTTCTCTCAGTTTCTGCCCCACATTTAATTTCTAACAGAGTATAAGTGACTGGCAGTTGAGCTGAGCAAACGATAACAAACATGCAGCAAATTTTTGCCAGTCTTAGAATGACAGCAAGTAGGGAGCCAAGTGCAGCTGACTTCTTTCAGCTTCAAGGTTGTCTTCAAATGCATGGTTCATGGCCTGTGGAGCCCTACCCAGCCCAAATCTGCTCTTCTTGCAAGATTTCTTTTGACCCCAAGCTTCAAAGCTTTAATGCTTTGTTTTAATATTAAACAATATCTTTTTAATCATTGCTAAATAACTCTCTTGTGTTTTACTGTAATAAGAAACAGGCTGTTTCATATCTGTGAAGCAAGGGAACCCTTGTCTCTAGTGAGAGGAGAGCACAACACTCCCTGCTTACTGCTCCTACTTTCTCTTGTTGCAGACATTCCCGTGATCCCTGACTTGGAGGAAGTCCAGGAGGAAGATCTGGCCATGCAAGTAGCAGCTCCCCCCAGGTAAAAACACTGCCAGGTGTTTTTGAGGCTCTCATCGGCAATGCGAAATGGCTGGTGAAATTAAACTCCGTCTTATCTCACGCTCTCTGGATGTCAGCAGCAGTGCCATTCAGCAGGATTTGCTGCTGTGTATTGTGGCAGCAGGGCTTCAAGCGAAACAGTGCAAGCTTCTTGTTTCCTGTTACACAGAGAAAGCAATTACTGCATAGTCTCTCCATATATAAAAACCTCTACCTTTGAGTAACATGCTTGATGTTGCAAAATCAAACTCTAAAAAGTGAGGAATTGCTTGATTTAAGGTTGCCTGTATAACCTCAAATGCATCCAGTACACATGCATTATCACACACACTTTGATTATGCATGGTCATAGGCTGCTTTGCCCTCCACAGGATATCCTTCTTACTCAAGTGCCTAGTTAATTTGCAAAGTACAATCCTGTTGTTTGAAGGTGTTATCAGAGTAGTCTTGGGATTAGCTCAAGGGAGACCAGCAAGTTTTTAAAAAAATGAAAGTTTAGGGTGTTTTATCTTAAACATATCAGGAAAGTCTTCTCTCTTCTGTTGGGCCTGTTGTCAAGATCACAGACTAGGATTTCTGCTGCCCCTTATTTGGAGGGGTGGGATATCTTACTCCTGACTACAGATGCCCCTCTCACAAGTATGGAGTAGTTACTGTAATTAAATAGCTGCTAACAAAAATAAGTGATACTTTATAGTAGTAAATTTAAAATTCCTTTGTCTCTCACCAGAATTCATTTCTGTGTTTTCCCTCTTTTAATACCATCTCTTCTTCCTGTATCCATAGTATCCCTGCAACAGAAAAGACAAGTGGTTTTCATGGACAAACAGAAACAGAAATTAAATTAATATAGGTCTTTTCTGTAGTATTGCATCACCTGTGAAGGGAAACATGGCATGACAGTATATTACCGGCCTACACTGTGTTTCTCTTTGAAGGCTACATTTTAAGAAATTGTATTTGGTAAATGTGACTCAGCTCAGACATGGAAATCAGAAAGTCCCTACTGTTCTGTAGCTTGTATGGTGGGGTGCTCAGAGCCTGCTTTGCTACAGCGCTGGGGCTGTTTGGATGTTCACTATGTTCCTGTTTTCTTTCTGGCCCTCGCAGCTAGTGTGTGGGTCATCTCTCCAGCATGCTGGTTTCTCTGAGGGAGTCCATGGTTGCTCCATATCTTGTTTTTATGCATGTGCTCAACCTGGCACACAGATTTGTCAATGACTGTGGATTTGCTGAATGAAATGTGCCTCTGTCTGGGGACATCTGTCTCAAGAGTCCACATAGGTGATGTGGACACTCGAGACGGGTGTCACCGGACTACTGTTCATGCCACCCTTTTCTTCAGATGTGCTTCCACACTTACCCAGGCTTGTATTTTGACCTTTTCTGGTTGTAGTGTGCAGGTGAACCGAGTGCTGACGTACCATGACCTGGACAAAGATCTAATGAAGTACGCTGCCTTTCAGACTTTGGTAAGTGGGTGTTGCTACGGAGTGACCAGCGTGAGTCCTTCGCCTTTCAGGCTCCCATCGTCCTCCACAGTGATACTCAGCTGCATAAAATACACAGTCCTATCATCCAAACAACTTGCAGTCTTCCTGCAAGTCCGTTCCTCTCTGCAGTGTGGCTTTTGTGCTTATTTGTGTCTGTAAATAGTGTGGGTATGGTATCTGCTGCTCAGATGAGGCTCCTGCTGTTGTTCTGGACAAAGTATATGTCCCTTATGTGGCAAATGTGCCTATGTCTAGCAAGACCTACCTGGTGAAATTATGGTATCCATTTTTTCACTGTAAGTAAGACAGTGACTATGTGTATGTTCATAGGATGGAGAGGTTGACCTGAAGCTTCTCACCAAAGTTTTGGCTCCAGAGCATGAACTACGAGAGGTGAGTCTTTTGTGGGAACAGCAATAAAGCAAAACCTTCTTATGTGTCTCATACTGTACTTGGAAATTAAGCCTTTGTTGGTAGGGTGGAGGAGAGATGTGAGGAGGAGCTTGTCCAAGCTGATGGAGGCTTGTTTTCCTCAGCAGATTATTTTAAAGATATATAGGTCTTTCTCCATGTGAGATAATGACATCACTATGATTGGACCCCTTCAGTAGGAAAGAGCTATTAAGGAAAATGTGAAGGGCCTCACACTGTCCCAGATCCCCGCAGAAACAGTGCTCTGTTGTGTATTGTCTTTTGGTAGCCACCATGAGCTCCAGGTGGTTCTACAGGGTGGTACAGAGGGACAAAGGCAGAAAGCATTTGGGGTTTGGGCAGAGGGATATTTTAAGGCAGGACAGAACAACCTCAGTGCAGCTGGGTGGGCAGGGGCTCAGGACTTGCAACAAAGGATTTCTGCAGCTCAGAATTTCAGATGCTTCAGCAGAAGTGCAGAATGTTGGAAGATTTTTAAGACTCCTCTTTACACCCTGCCTGGGAGTATCTAAGATTAACAAGTACCAAAAAATCTGTCCTTTATGTAATTTAGCAATATTAATAATTCCGTCAGCATCTTTAAATTGTAGCAGGGATTCACATTTAATTCTGACTAGGATTCCTGTTCTAGCCAGCTGAATTTGGGACTTCCTTGTCTGGGGCAGTTGCCATTTAGTTTTTGTTGTTCACCTTGAATATTTGACATGATTCAGAGAACTTTGGGTGTCACCAGTAACATTTCAGTATGTTTGTCTTTTTCTTCTTGGTAGGATGATGTCAGCTGGGATTGGGACCACCTCTTCACAGAGGTCTCCTCAGAACTTGTGACTGAGTGGGACCTGGGACAGTCTGAGAGAGAGGACCACCTCAGTGTGCCCTAGAGCACTGGCATGCCAGACATCTTATACATGCATCCCCTGTAAATAGTTTAGCACTTTAATTTTCTATTCACTTGTTTGTATTTGAGAATTTATTTCCGACATGAAAATAAATAGGACCTTGCTTCATAGGAAAACTATCTTGGGAGAAGTTTTTGGTATTTTGTAATAGAAATACTTGTTCTCAAAAGAAATTAGGAATAAACACAATAAAATATTTACTTATGAACAGTCACTTCCACCTCACTAGCAACTTTACAGGTCACTGCAGTGGTTGATCTTTCTTCTGTGGAAATGCATCTTCTCTGGAGTGGACCATCTTACAATGGAGTGTGGTTTTCAGTGATGGCTATCAGAGGAGTTTAGGCTGATAGGATTTGTTTGCCTAGGACATCAAGATTACCATCTTCCTTACAACAGATGCCACAAGTTGTCAAGATATCCATTTTGCATTTCATCCAGCAGCCTCCAGCCGCCCGCTGCTAGTTTAACCTCTCCCCTGGAACATTATGTCTGTATTGACTGAGAGGAACTGGCACCACTTATTAAACTGCCAACACCACTTCTTACAGCACCTCTTTTTTTCCCTTGAGGTTCTCCAGCTAAATTCTGACCAGGCCTAACCCTGCTTAGCTTTTGCAATCAGATGAGATCACAGCCTGAATGGAGATAGCTTCAGGCAATAGGTAGTTTGCAAAGAAAATACTGTTTATTCCAGGCATGTGAAAGAATGGAGCCTGCTGCTCTGAAAACAAGGTAACTCCCTTGTGGGTGTCTCCTTGGAACCAAGTAACCCATTCCTATTGTCATCTAAAGAAAAACCCATTTAGCTGTTAATGCCTTGTCCCCATAGAACTGTGGTCATTATTTGCAGGAAGCAGTAACATTACTTCTAAGCCAATGTCTTTCAAAACCTTGTCCCATTGGAGAATCTTGCTATATACTTCTGGGGGGCAGTGCAGGTGCTGCGAGGAAGGCTTGCTGTGCAGCTTTTCTTAGCTTGTTTGGCCAGTCTAATAGAACACTGCATCCCCACTCCTGTACTGACAGGAGGACAGGTCAGATAGCTCACTGTTAATTCAGTAGTCTGCAAAATTTCAGATCAGAGTTGATAAGCCAAACAATTCTACCAGAGAAGCAATTGGGTGCCAGTCTGGGGCCACCAAAATAAGGGGAGGCTCATCTGTCTTATGGAGACACTGTGTTTTTTACAACCAAGGTATATATATATATATATATATATATCCCCTATAACTAGAAAACTAAATGAGACAGAAGCTTGGGAGGCCAGTGTATGGAGGGTAATTTCAAAGTCTATTTCTGAGCAGAGAGCTAGTGTCTATTTTTCTAGGACACCTACGGTTCTCAAACAAAGAAAATTTAGAATGCTTCCTACATTCCAGGAAAATATAAGTTAAATTCAGCAAACTAAAATAGTTTAGTAAATCAGAAAAACCCGATGAGCCAGTCTGAGAGGAAGAGAATGGTAAGTGGAGGAGGGGATGGGATGTGAATTTGCTCAGCTCCTCCCTCAAAGATCACAGAGAAAGCAGAGATACTCACTCTCTTAGTTGCAAACTGTAGGACCATCTGGAGCGGGTTCTCTCCCTTCTACCTGATCTGAGGTTCTAATGCACACTGCTCCTATAAGCTGCTTGCATGGTATCGCATTATTCAGTGATATTTGCTTCCAGTGAGACTGTGGCCTCTTTGAAGCATGAAAAAAGCAAAACTTTCTGTGTCCTGAGAAAGAGAGGACAAACTCTGGTGGCTGCAGGAGTGGCCCAAACCAGGCTACAAGTACTCCCACTGAAACTTGGGTCTCTGCACCATGTCCCTACCAGCGAACTGTCTTCCTACTGCGATGCTGTGCTTGCCTCTGGTTTGTTGAGGAGGGCAGGAACACAACAGGAGCAGAGAGAGAAAGGGGGGCTGAGAGGTGAGCCCACCTTTCTCCCTTCAATCACTGTTGCAAAGCATAGAAGGCCTTGCTCCGTGCAGAAGTCGTGCCAAGCCTATTGCTCCCCTAGCAGCTGTGCGCTGCACCAACAACCCTGGGCTGTCTCCAGGAATGCTCGCAGAGCCATCTTCTGCCTCCCAGAGCTGCTCTGATCATCCTGGGCGGGCAGAGCACTCCTGTCTGGCCGCTCTCCCAGCAGGGAGGAATGAGCTGAGCTGTGCAGTGGTGCTCAGCGCCACAGGGGCCCTTCATGGGTCGAGAGGAAGAGGAAAGGACCCCTCGAAACAAGAGCAGGAGGGACATCAGACCCGGGAGATCCTCCTGGAGACGGTGAGAGGTAGGTAGGAAAGGGAGAGGGCTTGGGGAGGGGCATCTGAGGCAGGGTGTGGGGAGGTGGGAGCCAGGAGCAAGAACAGGGTTTGTGAGAGACAGGGTAGGGGCAAGAGGAACAAGGAGGTCGAATGATTTAGGAACAGAGTATGCATACAGTTTTGAGGGGTGTAAGGCCAGAGCAGGTACTGGTGGGGAGCCAGGAGAGAACAGGGCACAAGAAGGGCACAGTGGGAGCTGAATGAGGCCTTTGCTGATGAGCTGCGGTCACGTTATGCTGTTGAGCGGCTCTAAAGCTGCATGAAATCTGTCACAGGAGTGTGCTTGGGACTGGGTGATGTTGGCTACCTGCCTCTGGCTTGGGGCCCTGAGCAAGGATGCTCTGTGGTGGGAGGCAAGTGTGTGTGGGCCAGGCCTGTGCCCACTCTGGGACCTTGGGAGCCCAGCAAATACTCAGGCAGAGTTTGAGAGTAGGGCTTGAAAAAAATCAGTCTCATCTATTTTAAGGTGGGAAGAGGTGGCCTTGATCATTTAATCTGACCTGCTATAATACAGGCCATAGCAGAGTCCAGTGAGATGTGGCTCAGCTTTGCTTGTCTTTTAGAAAGGCAGACAGTATATTTGAAAGTCTTCCCTGGTTAGTTTTTCTAATAGGTAATTGCTCTTATGGTTCAAAATCTGCTTTATTTCTAGTCTCAGTTTTTAAGTTTCATCTTCTGTTCCCTGCGCCTGCTTATGCTTTCACCTTCCCAGTCAAACCATGCTGTCAGATATTTTCTCCTTGCTTCAGTATTTATGTGCACTGTGATCAAGTTGTCTCTTTAGTTTCCTTCAGTAAACTTAATAGACTGAGACTTGTTTCCATGTCTCTTCAATTCCTTCCCTACCTGGAGGAGGGGAGGTGAGTGTCTGGCTCCTGGCCTTCTGCCAGCAATCTGTTCCCACCCACCTTCCTTCCACAGTCATGTTTTGGTTTGCAGTGCTGGGAAAGATGACTGAGACCTGTTGCTTCTCCTCTCGCAAGTCCTGGTGTTGTCAGAAGAGAACCTGCTTCTGTTACTCTCCTTGCTAAAAAGAAACTACGAGATGCTTTTGCATTTCCAGGCCAGCTCTTGGCTCATGGTGACACACCAGTGTGTACTGGCTGTGACAAAGCTGCCCCAAGAACCTGCCTTTCTGACAAGTTCTGTGGAAAGAGCGTGCAAAGGAAGAAATGATAGATGCAAACTTTTTCTTGTAGCCTGCAGAGGTGTAGTTCTGGTTGATCCTCAGGTGAGGTGAGAAGTGAGAGCAGTTCTCAGAACAGTGCACCCAGCTCCTGGGAACTCGGATGAGCCCTCTGGGCTGTGCCTAGCCAAGGAATAGAGCAGTAATCCGTTGTCATCTCCACAGACCTGTATCACAGAGGGGTAAAGTGTGGTGCAGTGGTGTGCCCGGGCCACACAGCAAATCTGTGGCAGAATCAAGGTTAGAAATGAGGAACCTCAAGTGCCTGATTGAAATATGGCTTTTATATACCTGGTGAGTGTTTTCCATCTTCAATTTGAGGGTGGCAATTCAACATAGACAGTCTTGTGTCCTGCTTGCTCTTCGTTCAGCTCTGTTCATACATTGCTGAGGGAGAGCTGAAAACCTGTTAAAGCATGTGTCATCAGTGACCTGATCTGGGATGTCTGCCCAGAGATTTGCTGGGATTCTGGATGAGTGTAAACGTCTACCTGCAGATAGCCTCTTGCAGGCTCAGGGCTCGATAGGCTACTCCAGGCAAGGGGTCAGCCTTATCACAGATGAAGTAAAAGAAGTGCACAAAGGAAAAATTATAGGTCCTATCAGTTTTAGGAATATCTGGTTTTGCTTATAATAATAGATGCAATATTTATAGTCTTTCTTGGTGGATTATAGATCTTCTTGGTGGGGATGTTTTACTAGAGTACAGTTTGGTGGTGGAATATTTGGGCAGAGACAGCATACACAGTGCTGGAAAAAAACTGTAAAAAAATAAAAGCTGAAAAAAAAGGCCAGACCCAGCAACTTTCCATTAAAGAGCCTGCCTGCCAGCCAGGAGCCTTTTAAAGGGACTCTGGCTGGCTGTTTTATTAAGTGTGACAAAGTGATGGGAGGTGGGGGGGGGGAGCTCCTATGTTAATAAGTTGGAAAGGCACCACTGTTCCTCTCGCCGGAGTGTCTCAGGGAAAGTGGAATTAATTCATGGCATATGCTCCCAGCATCTGCCGCGGTGACCTGGAGTGGCGGGAGCGCAGCGCGAGCCAGAGCCCATATTCCTCGCTCCCCTCCCGGGCCTTGCTCGCTGCCTGCCCCCCCCGCGGCCAGGAGCCGTATCCAGCTAGTACAGGTGGGTGCACTGGGTTGTTTCCAGGCTGCAACGATCTTTGCCTGTGCTTCATGCTCTGCATGTAATATTTCCCTTGGGAAAGAGCACCCAGAGCCAACCTTCCACTGGCTGCTCTTTCTTCAGCCTTTTTGGACAATTTCCACCTTTTTTGGACAATTGCCTGGGATGTGGGTCACTTTCCTGGCCTGGAAAGCTGACAGAGCCAGGAGGGACTGGAGCAGTGGGTGATCCCCAGACAGGGCAGAAGTGCCCCACGCTGCTTCTGTGCTCTCCCAAGCAAGTGTCTCCACACTTCAGCAGCTTCTCCCACTTGCGCTCCCTTTCAAAATGTGGCATCCCAGTCCCGGGCCGTGGTGGGACTGTGCAGTGCTGAGTGAGGGCCAAGGCAGGGTCCCAGCTGTGGGGCACCACGACAGATCCACAATCAGCTGCCCTGGTGAGACCAGTTCTCCCAGGGCTGTGCTTTCTCTGAGGGGATGACCCTCACTCCTTGC